ATTAAACGGACAATGGAATCTTCTGCTTCTGGCAGTAGTAAAAATCCAGTTGAAAAAGGTGATGATGAGCCTAGATAGAGCAAAAGGACCAAAACTTCTAAGACGTTTGGCCCTGATTTTCTCACATATTTGATGGAGATGATCCTCAAAACTATAAAGAAGTTATATCTTCTCCAGATGGTCATTTGTGGAAAGAAGCCATCAAAAGTGAAATCGATTCCATTCTACAGAATCATACATGGGAGTTAGTAGATCTTCCACCGGGCTGTAAGCCTTTGGGATACAAGTGGATCTTCAAGAAGAAGATGAAAGCGAACGGCTCCATTGATAAATATAAAGCTCGGAGAATTGAATGAAAAATATTGAATAGAAGTAATGAAAAATATTGAATAGAAGTCTCTTCATATATTGTACCTCAAGTAACTCAAATCCCTTCATGTTTTTAATTCCTTTATTAATGAATGGTTTAACTCCTTCATTAATGAGCTAGCTTTCCTCCATTGGTATAAATTGGAGTCTCTCTAGGTTGGAAAATTACAAGTGAAATGCAAGCTTCTTCCTCTAAGCAACAATATTCTTTTTCTCACTTTCAAGTTCTTCTTTGTGCTTATAATTTATTTGTGACATAGAGTATATCACAGTTAGTTCGCAGGCGGTTAACGTAATGCAGCGTGAACCGACAACCTATTGTATCCTAAGAATCGAACACCGATCAAAACCTTTTGCACTCCGGTGAGGCGATGAATTCGATTTAAAGAAACTGTGAATACACAGGCTTCGATTTGATTTGATTCTCTAATATTTATCTACAATTACGTCCATCTCTAATTTTTAAGTTCTTAATTCAAAGTTAAGAATTAAAGTTTATCAGGTGATAATACATTTTTTAAATATTAATAATAAAATTAGAAAAATTCACAACTCCACCCTGCAAAACCCTCACCCCCACTCAATTCTAACCCTAAAATCTCCTCTCTCACTCTCTAATTCCCTTCTCAATCATCTCTCTAGCGAAAACTTCACGTACATCAAATTGTGATCGTCGTTGTGATCGAGAAGTGGACTGTGATGCCACTGATTCATCCTTATAATCTGTTTCTACCATTCATCCATCCACTTGGAAAACTTCGATGGATTCCAAATGCTCCGCCATTTATGTTTCTTCTTCTTGAAGTCATCTTCACAAAGGGCGGTATATGGGTGCGCGGCACTGCGGTTGCAGTCTGGTAGACTTGTGGAGGTCATGGCAGTGTGGTGATATTGTGGTTGTGGTGTGGTGGATTTGGAGGTCATGGATTTATGGAGATCTTATAGCTAGTCTGCTGTAGATTTGTGGAGGTTTAGTGGTTGATTTGCTCTCTGCTGTGGATATGTGGAGGTTGTGGTGGCGACATTGGTTTTGGGATTTTTCAGTGGGTGTGGTGAAGATGAAGATAGAGGAGATGGTAGTTGTGATTTTTGGTTCAGGTGATGGTTGTAGCAGTGGCGGCTACGATGTTGAGATGGTGGTGGCAATGGTTGTGCCTATGGTTGTGATTGTGGATTGGTGGCGATGGCGGTGGTGGCCATGATGGGAGAGACGGCTACGATGGCAATGATTATGGTTTGGGAATTTTTTGGTTGGTGGTGATGGTGATGGGGCTGTGTTGGATTGGAATTGTATAAAGAGGGATTATGACCAATTATTTAGTTATTGTGATCAATAAATTAGTAAATTTGTTACCAACAAATAATATGTGGCAAATGATTTGAGATTGTAACCAATAAATTGGATATTTTGTAACCAATAAATAATATATTATCTAAAAATTTGAACCATGACTTATAAAATTTGTGATTTGAGAACAATATATAAATTGTGAGCTATAATTTTTTTGATTTGTGACTAATAAATAAATTATGACCTATAAAATTTTTAATTTTTGACCTCTAAAATTTTTGATCCGTGACCAAGAAATAATTTGTCATCAGTTAATTCTATAATTTGTGATCAAATAATATAAAATTGTGACATTAATACATTGAATTAGGAAAATCTATTTTTAATTAATTATTTCATAAATAAAATTTAATTAATATCGATTGTTGAAATTTGAAATGATATTTCTTAATTTTGAAACGGATCAAACTTAATGTCTTAGATATGAAATTTTCCGTTTGGATTATCTGCCGACAAAGAGTTTTGTAATTGAAATTATAGAATTAGTAGTCTTTATACATTCAATAATGGTTCCTTCAATTTGTATTACAACATAAATGCATAATACGATATGACAAAACATTAACCGTTATTATTGGCCGACATCCTTTGTCTTCCAAATTGAATTATACAGCTTCTGTCCCTGCATTGAAAAGCCCCCTTTCTAGACATGTAACTGATATGGGTCCTAAGGGACTTCGCCACCCTCACTAATAGAGAGATTGAGGTTCTATACTCAATTTTTGTGGGGTTGTCACGTGTGAGAATATATTTTTCGATAGATATTTTTAAGAGATTGATATATAAAATATACACGGTCCAGCATTTTTAATATCGGGAATTAAATTTGTGGGTCAATAATTAAAAATTAAAAAATTGGGATTGAGTTTCATAGGCCCCATTTGGGAGCGATTTTGAGAATTGATTTTTTTACCGTTAGGAGAAACTGGGGGTCACTTGTGAGAAAAGAAGTCAAACTTTACAACTAGAATAGTAAAATAATGGTCAAAAAATCAATTTTTTTTGGTGAAAAATCACTCCCAAACACCCCCCTTAACGTCTCCATTAGAGCATGTTTGGAAGTAATTTTGAGAATTGATTTTTTGACCGTTAGGAGAAAAGTTGGTCCATCTATGAGAGAAGAAGTCAAATATAACGACCGGAATAGTGAAATAACGGCCAAAAAATCAATTTTTTTGAGAAAAATCACTCTCAAACAAGCTCTTAATATGATTTCGAGATATCAATCTTTAAGAAGTAAGGTTATGGGTTTCAATCCTATTAATTATGTGAAAATGTATGCATTATGGAAACCTTCAATGTAGAAGCTATACCACTGAACGTCCAACTTTATGAGGGGAAAATCGTCATTGATATTTCTATGAGTCTTCAAAATGGGATTATGCTAGAAAATAAAATTTTCTTTTTTATTAATGAATTCACACGTTAAATCACTCAATGTCCAACATTGTGAAAGTTTATGTCACATGCAATTCTAACATCTATATCGATAAATTTTGTAAATGTAGAGATCTATATTCACTGATTTAGGGTTCATGCCATCAGAGAAATCCACTTCTTGTTGATTCAGAAAATATGAGTGTATGTCTCTTTCGTTATGATTGTTTCTCGATTGCTCTGATCATTAAAGTTCTTTTGTATGTGATGTGAATTATCGTGTAAAGATGAATTTTTTGGGAATTTTACATGTTGGGATTCAGAGCTTCGCTTTTAAATGTCAAGATCCAAAATCACATTATCTGAAATACCGTGGAACCAAATTCTTTTTACTATTATTATAGCAACGTCAAATAGTTAGTTAGCGAAAGGCGTGTGCATTGCGAGCACAGCATATACAAATAGCATGCAATTTGAATCGCGTCTATTCATCTCAATTTACATGGCACATAGGATATGCGACATCGATACTTCTACACGCTTTAAATAAGCGAATGCTCCAAACAAAACTGAATTACATTGAAGCTCATTACACAATTAACTAGAAAAAAAATAATGAGGATTTAGCTGTAAATCACTATATACTAATAAAACGGTGGCTTTTAAAGTTTCTTTTCGGGCAGTTGGTGAGAAAAGTTATCATTGTATTGTATATGTTGCTTTTTTGGCTAAATAATTATCGATTTCGTGTGAAAACAGGAAATGTAATTAATTAATTAATTAAATCTAAGAGAGATGGGTTTTTTCACCTATCCCCTGCACATGCTTAGATACTAGCCAACCACCATGGACAAATATAAACAATAATATATTAAGACCCGCCCCCGAGGCATATTCCAGTTGTGCAAATGACAAAAGTGAGGTAGTTTCAGCCTTGCTAGCAACCGTAGTGTGAGGGTTCGATTCCTGAAATATGGAATTGGACTTTTTGTGGACACCAGTGTACGGGCAAACTCTTGTTCCCTACCTGGTTGGGACACATCCCGCGATTTACCTCCCTCATGATGCTCTAGGGATGGGGCGGTGGGGGCCCTCAAGGTTGGAGTTCAACCTTTTTTCAATAATATATTAAGACCCACCTAATTAAATTAATAAAATAAAAGTAATTAATTAACATTTAAACTTGAGCGAGGACAAAAATTTGTGCCCATTTCAAAGCGAAACATATATTCCGATTCCATGTATCATTTCAGATCTATGATCGTTCAACAATCTTTTGTGTAAATCTTGTGCCAACTACAAGGATTTGATCCCTCAACACAATCAATAGGAAGTTGTTAAATGAGCCCTAGAGTTTGGGTACTCTTTAATGTATTTAAATTTTTCGATCAATTTTTTATTTTTCTAGTCAAAGCGATTCGTCCAATCAAATTCTTTTAACATAGACAGAATTCATTGACTTTAATTTCATTTTAATGTCTTTATTAAATTAGATAAATACTAATATTTTACTTGTTATTTTTTTTTAAAAAAAATAATATATATATACACACATACGAATAAAAATTGAGCAGTAGAAAAATTTCAAAAAAATATTAAGATTCGAATTGAACCGACCATGGGATTGATTGCGCATGGCCCCGCTAATTAAGCAAAGATTGAGGAACCATGTGCCTTAGCCCCCTTAAAATCAGCTTAAGAAACTCATCCTTATTTAATTAATTATCCTAATGTGTCACAATCATAAGGCTCCTTCACCTTATTGTTTACTTTATTAGAAGTTAATTAATATTAGATTATATAACGATATGACTGTCTATATTATACTGGTGACAAATTTTTTTTCTTATCCAACCTACTATATATGTACCTAAACCCAACATCCCCTCTCCCCGTTCTTGCTAAGAGTTTTAAGAAGAGAGAGAGAGAGATCCAATAGAAAGAATTTAAAAAAATGATCAAGTTAAGGTCAAAGAGGCTATTCAGAAGCAGATCTAAGCTTAGCACTGGTGGCGCCACCCATGGTGACGGTGGAGCCGCCATAAAGGGCTGCAAAGTCAATGGTGGTGAGATCAAATGGGAACTACGTCCAGGAGGTATGCTTGTTCAAAAGAGAGATTATAAAGTAAGTGACAACGAGGTGATGATCACAATTAAAGTCTCTACAGTCTCCCAATGGCATGATATATCTGTCCAAGCAACTTCAACTTTTGGTAAGTCTGAAATTCGTAATTATGATGTTCCATTTCACGGGAGAAAATTTTTAATTTTGTCATCAATTTTGCTTAGGAAAAGCTCGCGTTGGGCTATTTTTTAATATAGTTACTTCCTTTCTTTAAATTAGTCGAACATTCTCTTACTTATATAGTTGAATGAATACCAATAAATAAAATAAATAGCACATCATATTCGAGACGTACTAATTCCTATATGATTTCAAGAAAGTTAACCCGATTCTGGTTCTATTTGTTAAATTTGCAGGGGAATTAAAGATTATTTTGTCAATATTAACAAATTTGGAACCAAAAGAGCAAAGGCTGTTATTCAAAGGGAAAGAAAGGGAAGACAATGAATATTTGCACATGGTTGGGGTAAGAGACAAAGACAAGGTTCTGATGTTAGAAGATCCGGCCATCAAAGAGAGGAAGCTTGTCGGGTTGTCGGGGCGCCAAGTGATCGGGTCACCTTATCGAACCATCACTGTCTAATTAATCAAATTAATTAGTAGATATTAATTTACTATCTTATAATTTGTTGAATTAACTAACTGTAAAAGTTATCAAGTGTAATGATGAATATTTTATAAAATTGTGGAGGCGAGGGACGTTATTTGTATTATTCCCTTGTTAGCTGACCAGCCACATTTATTTGATGTAATCGGGTCATCATTTCCGCATTTTCGTTTAAGACTGTTGGATGAAAATAAAGAACAAATTTTAGGAAGTGGTTCCTTTTTTAATGTAACGTTGTTAGGACATGTGAACGGTGGCTTGGATGCATACGAAGCTACTCGACCTCAAGAGAACCCAATAACTCCTTAGGTTGACCGAGACCTCCAAGTGTGGGGATCGATCTCAACCATCCCTCTTTTCGGTTTGGTCGAGTGGCCTTCATATTGTGGAATTAACTTCTAAGGATCTACAAATCAATGACGCTTGAGGTTTTACATATTCTTTCTCAATCAAGATTTTATTTTTCAATTTATTTTATGTTCATGAATAATTCGAAATTTGATGACATGCATGAATTAATTCCTATTTGATCATATTATCCAAACATATTTAAAGTAAACAGTGAGGACTCCATTATCCATGGAGGCCTTAAGTTGATCAACCCTAGCATTTTCCGGCATTTTAGCAAAAACTGCGCCACGGTTGCACTCAATGCAATGCCATTCCTCTGTAATTTTATCAGAATCCTATTGAACATCTACGTGAAATGCAAGGAGATACAAGGATGATGGGCCTTATGAAAACAATTGGAATGTATTAAGGGTAAATTACATAAAATCAAGTACTTAAACTTTCAAATTCAAAATTCAAAGATGAAGTTTACTAATGTAAAACTCAGGTAGTATATATAATTAATGCCCAATTCAATTAAAAACCCTAATCATTTCTCCCATTTTAATTTTCAATCCCGCCTCTCTTCCCTCTCTCTTCCCACGTCAACTTCTCCTTCCTCTCTACCCTCCATCAATAACTGTCAATGTTGAGGAGCGTTGCACCGTCGAAGATGTGAGAGTCGAGCAACAGCATAGTTGCTACAGTGCGGCGCCATTGTAGCCGACGATAATTTTTCTAGTACTAGCCTCCATATTAATAAGCCCCATCAAGCCTTTGAACCTTTCTTCAGACCAAATTCTTTTGCAAATTTGGCCTTCAAAATCTGTCCTCAAAATAATCTGTGACCAATTAATTCGAAGATATGTGACCAATAATTATGAATCCGTGACCATTAATCGTGTAACTGTGACTTTATTATATTTAATTAATAAATATTTTCCATTAATTATACAAAAACCTAAATTTTGAATTTTTAAACTTTATAACTGATTTGTAAATTAGTGTAAACAATACACTGGACCTATAAATTTTTTCCATGCATTAAATGACAAGGTTAGCTCAAACAAAATCAGTTCAAGCCCAAGTGATGTTTTAGTAAGTACATTAAAGCCCAAAGCTACCTCATCTACACTAACAAACTATTGAAAAATTTATGGTCTTTTGGCATGACTTTTGCTTTTATTTTTACTCCCTCTATGAAAGCTTTTGGAGGAATCTACATTAATTTTTATTTTAAATCTAATTTTTAAAAGAATTCTTATTACGGAAGTGATTTTACATGAAACCATGTTGGACCATCTTTCTTTAAAAGCCCTTCCAACTACACTTTCATAAAATTAGTTAAAGGAAAAAGTCTCCGTGTCAGAAGAAAGCTTGACAGAGGCTTTGACAGCCTTCTCACAAAGCCAGGCCCTGCATGAATAAATAATTGGGAGAAAGAAGCTGCCCCACCCCCATAATGTGAGGGTTGATCAGGGCTTCTGGCACCAATTTTTTGGTAGTGTAGCATGGTCCTTAATTAAAAGGGTTCTAAAACCTCCTTTAGACTTTTAAAAACTATACCAAATGGGCACTTAGTGAAGCGGCTCGTGGCTTTCTCATAATAAGAAATAAAGAATTTCTTTCAACAGAGTACAAATCACGGAACTCTTTTTTCTTTTATAAATCCTCCACTGATCTTCAAAATTCTTCCTTCAATCATTTCAACCCTCCGCATCCTCTTTGCTTAGCCAAGGAAGATCGGCCATGAAAATGTGGGCTTCTGTGGTTTCTTTCCAGTCAATTGGTATATGCGCTGGTTTTTTGAAAATTTTGTATGCTGTATTTCTTTACCTAAAATAAGGTTTTGCTCCAATCTTCTACTATATTCGATAGTTTAAACTTTCTCTAGCTTCATCTTATCAGTCTTGAATTACGGCAACTTCTTTTAGAGGACTGCTAAGAAATTGTACTTAGGGTTGGTATTTTTACTTGGAACGATTCGAACCATATCAAAATCGAATCAAATTGAATGAAGTGGTTCGGTTTGATTTCAATTAAAATCGTTATGTTTTGATCATCAACATAACTCAAATGTATTCAGAATAGGCATGCAAAGGGAAATAAGAAAATTTGTTTAACAATTTAGAGTTTAAATAAAACTTGTTTTCGAAGCATAAAAGAACAAGAACAGATCGAATCAGGACAAATTCCTTTTTCTTCTTTCCATAGAACTAAAGCTCCATTTTCACAATCCCAAAACGCAGCAGACTGTACCAAAATTCACAAAAATGTACCAAAATGCCGAGCCCGTCAGAATACACGCGAGTATGTGAAATGCACCAAAAGGCGCCAAACATTACCAGAATGCGCAGAAGATACCAAAATGCTCCAAGTTGTTGCTCGCGTCTCACTTCAAATGCGAAAGTACTAGTCCAACTTTGGAAACAACATATAGTTTCATAAAATTGGATGGTTCCCATGTTGGGGAGTGTTGACACACAAAAAGTTCAGCCCAAATCGAATAGCCCAAGGAATGAAACCCAATTGGAGGATCCCCAAATCAGATAGTCCAAAGAATGGTCCAATCAGGCAATTCAGGATAAAGACCCAAATAGGGAAATCCATGAACGCGGTAATACCATCGTCCAACCTTGCAAGTCGCCCAAGATTTGAGCGAATGGATTGCCATGCAGTCGCCCAGAGCTGTTACCCTGTTCTCACCCAAACCTTCGAGTCGCCCAAGATCTTAGCAAACATAAGACGTTATGGTTATCCAAAAGTGCAGTTAATGAAGCAGTTATTGAGTAGCTCTATCACCTTCCACGATTCAAAGAATTCAATTGAAGACAGTTGAACGACAAAAAGTAATGGCAGCAGTTAGAGAAGGCAGTTCTATGACAAGTTGGCCATTATGAAAAAAGTGGGCAATTATAGAGCGATCAATCAGTTTTTAAGCGGTTGATCACAAAAAGGTCATCCAGGGAGTATAAAAGGAAGAAAAGACAGAGCAACAGACCCAAATCAAACACTCTCAAACAGAGAATATGTAACTTTCAATTTCTTAATTTAGATTTAAACACTTCTTTTCAGTAACTCGTGTGCTTCCGCCCCTTAGAGGCATTCTGTTTTATTTTCCAATTGTAAAGTCATCGCCAATAAAAATACCCATTTTTGGGACTTTGTTTCAAGAGGTTTGTCCCTTACATAATCGTCTGATCCCTTTTTTAATTGTTAGCGACTAACCCGCGCGAAACACTTTGCTTCACCTTTACTTCCACTTTGTTTAGTGTAGTGAAAACATTCGCATCGCCGTCCTAAATGCATCGCTGCAATGACGTGCAAGGAGGCTGAGAAGCACTCTCAGCAAGTAAGGTGGCTTGCAGGCGTCCTTAAAAATTGTCTTCCATCATCGAACTCCTTGTAAGGAACATGGAGACGATGGGAAGAACTTCGCTGGCCAAAGAATATTTCCTATATCTCCCATACCAAAGGTGATATCAAGAAAGATGGCAAAATGGGCAGATCAAATGATCCATTTCCATGGAAGACGAAGATTTTGGATCGATTGTCAAAATGCCAAACAATGGCAGCAAATTGATTTTGAAGAAGAAAATGGAAGTGAAAATGACAAGTGTGGAATATAAGTGCATTTATAGAGGCGTGAAGGTGAAAAGACAGAATATGAACAGCCACATTCGTGCCTAGTAAATGGAATTAAGTGACTTAAAGTCTTGGAAAAAGAGGCAGAAATATCAAGAGAAAATGTGCAATTTTTTTTGACATAAAGCAGTTAAATACTTGAGCGGTTGACGATTAAAAGACAAATATCAATAAATACACAAGAAGTTAAAATAGTTGTTCATTAACGATGATGGCTGCTATTATGATCAAAATTAGTAATGGATATCAGTACAAAGTTACAAAGGGAAAGTCAATATGAAATTACAAAAAGAAAAAGTTAAGGCATTATATGTTTTAATTACAATTCGTCCCATACCAAACGAATTCTTTCCCTAAGTCTCCCCGAGTCCTCGCTCTGCCGAGAAGAAGTGATATTCAATTCAGCCACAACATCATCATCAACTTCCAGCTTCTTGTACTGCTCGACCAAAGACTTGGTTCGCTCAATTCCTTGGGAGGCATTACGTTTTTTAGCAGCCATTCTCGCCTTGCAGTCGTCCATCTTGGCTTGAAGCTCCTTCATCTGTGCAGCCAAACCAGTCATCAAAGAGTCTTCAATCATGACTTCCAAAGAGATTTATTTCAATTCGTCCTCAGCTTTGTTGATCTCCAAAAGCAAGGACTCTCTTTCAGATACAGCGCGAAAATATTGAGTACTCTTAGCCTTCAGTTCAACATTTCTGGCTAGCAAGGAGAGAATCTCGGAATGGACAACTTTCAACGTCGCTTTAAAATCAGCAGAAAGGTTGAGCGACGGACGTGTTAGTGCTTGCTCCAACTTCGCACTCAAATGCTCAAACTTATCCTTATGCTTAGCAGCATTAGCCTTACCGATGTCCGTATCCATGAAGGACACATACTCAAATATCAACTGCTTGAAGAACTTCATATCTTCCTCTAAAGAAGCAGAAGGACGGCTGGCTGAAGTAGGGTGAGATGTCATGACTTGCCCCCAGGAAGTGAACAAGTCTTGGATGGAATGCACAATTTTATCAGCATCTTGCAAAAAAAGTTGCCAACATTGAAAGTTTTCACTACACTAAACAAAGTGGAAGTAAAGGTGAAGCAAAGTGTTTCGCGCGGGTTAGTCGCTAACAATTAAAAAGGGATCAGACGATTGTGTAAGGGACAAACCTTTTGAGACAAAATCCCAAAAAGGGGTGTTTTTATTGGCGATGACTTTACAATTGAAAAATAAAACAGAATGCCTCTAAG